CTTCCTCAATCCACACCCTTAACTCCCAAAATGTTTACTAAGGTGAGCAAGGCAAAAGCATGTCATGTTGAACATAAACAACCATTAGATAGCTGGAATTCAAGATCTAGATTATGGTGATGGGGTGCTAGTTCATTCCATCGCAGTGTTGGCAAGGCATTAGAGGATCTAGAAGTCCAAGAGATTCCAAATATATTATAAATGTTCAAGTTCAGATGAGAAGATTTGTACTACTCAAATAGCCCCAAATACTAAAAACAAATACCAAATAAGCAGGCAGCAATGACATACAAACTTCTTAACCCTCTTTCTTTTGGACTGTATTAAGCGAAGACTTCCATGCACAGTAGAGCCTTTTTCAGTTGCATGTTGCATTTTACTTCTTGCACTACTATATAGGGATTCTCCCACTCCCTCAACAAAACCCCCAACTCTCAAGGGCAGCCAACCACATTAGGGCTTAGGCCATCAAGGAGGAGGTCATAAACAAAGATGAAATTAATTAAATTTAGTAATGATACAAAACTAGCTCAACTACAATTTCATTTCAAGTTAATTAGAGACTCACATTAGATTATAAAACAGAAGGTAATAACAGCACACAGATGAATCAAGAACAGAATAATCATGGAAACATAAGAGGAAGAAAGCATTTTAAGGGACATATAACATGCTTAAGGGACAAAAGAGGAAGAATGCATTTTAAACAAGATATAAGTTTGAGCTATGATGGGAAGTAAAGCAAAGAATATGAACCAAAACCATCCCTTCAAAAAGACAAACTTTTTTACGCTGGTTGGTCACCAAACAAGATTATCAAGTCATCTAAATCAAACAAGAACCCCAGGTTTAAGAGCAAAAAAGCCTGTAGAACAATGGGTCAATGGCATACTAGAAGGGTACAAATAACAACAATGGGCATTATGAAGCCAAGAGATCCAAATGTTGTCCCACCTGTGGAAACTTAAGAGATGATATTATCTCATTATAAAGAGCAAATTAACCCCAAAGAACTCAATCAAGCACAAATATCTAATATGAGCCGACACCAAATGTTCGCTTTCATAAACCAAGAAGAAGGCAAAAGGCTATACAACTTCATTGAAGTTATACAAATTTAAAAGTTCAATTTATAGCTAAAACAATGCCCAAGCCATAATCCCTTTAAAATAAGATCAGTTTGCATGAACCAAACTTTTATCAGGTGTTATATGCTACATGCTCTTGCAAACCCAATTTTTTAAAATCATTTTTGTATGCCTCCAATCCAAGTCAACTTGAGCCTCCCTCGGCTTCTTTTAAATCCCATAAACCCAACTCTCCACTTTCCATAATAGACGTCTCACATGTCCAAAGCAACCTACTTGGTTCTTATCTTTTACCCACAAAAAAAAAAAAGCAAGCATTCAAAGGACAAAGGAAAAACTACAAATAGACAAAGCATTATTTAAACAGCATAAAGAAAATATAGAATAGTTAAGAGTATAAATCTAAAGCCGAGTTCACCAGGGGGTGGAAAAGAATTATAAAGATAAAGGTCTCACCATCTAGCAGACTCCAATAAGTTAGGGAAGACTTCGCCTGAAGAGTGTTCATAAATTCAGCAAAGAAGAGCTTGCTGGAAAAATCCCCAGGAATGAGAGGCGCTCTATCAGGCTTAGCAGTGAAGTTGCAATGAGTAGCATAACAATGATCCTGATCACCATGGACGATTTCGCCATTATTTTCAGCCTTATAGTCCGTGTTCTGCATGTCATATCATAAAAGTAGTTTTACGTTATGCATAAGTCTTTATAAGGTGTTAGTTACTACATCGGTAATTGAAAATGGCTAGTAAAAACTGAAAAGAAAAAATGACAGTAATGATGTCAATTGAGTTGTGACATGAGATGTGAAGTGGAATGTACAAAAACAATACAAAGTATAGCTCCAAACCTCTCCCATGTAAAGATTTGATACAGATGATTCATGATTTGACTCGTTGCAAATGTATTTGAGTTTGGTTTTTTTTAAGTCAAAATAAGTTGAAAAGAATAGATAATAGTGCTCCCTTTGTCCACACATACAAAATCTTTTATACTGTTTCCGAAGTCCACACTTAAACTTTTAGGTAAGCCAAGTTCCACACTCACAACCCTTGCAATTTTTTTTCTTGTTTATTTAATACTTCCTTGATTTAATTTCATGGTTACACTTAAACAATATACGGTATTTCATAAAAATGGTTACACTACAACTATTTCCATTTTAAGACTATTTTTGGACCATTTTCCCACAACTATATATATATTTTACAATAGCTTCTCTTTTTCAATTCCACTTATCACATATCTGGTTTTGTTGAAATTGAAGTGTAACCATTAAAATGAAACGAAGAGAGTGATATCTAGCATAAAACCCATCCCATATAATTTCCCACTATAATAAGGTAAGATATGATAAGTTGAGGACCAATAAAGGACAATAAGTTCGGATAACATAAGTTGAGTGCAATTTAGTTCAGGAGAACACTATGTAAAACTCTAATATAGAATATAAACATTTACAAAGAAAGTAAGTAATAATTATACATACATTGGTTTTGTTAAAGTAAGCCAAGGCCTTTTCAGAATACTCAGCCAGTTGACTATGGAGCTCCGCCTTGCTAATGGGTTTGGAACAGTCCATACGCCCTGGGAAGAATATATCCGTATCGGGAATGAATATAGGATAGGAATCCTTCTCCCACCTTGTAATCCATAATCAATCTCTAAATTAGTCCAACTTTCTATAATTTCAATTCAATTCTTATTATCATAAAAAGTAAAACTGGGCGATTTCGAAACAAACAAATTATCATCATTATTCCCTTAAAACAAAAACTTAAAATTCAAACAATACAGAAAATAATAATCATAAGCGATAATAACTTTGTGAATAACCAAGTAAAATTGGGCGATTACGGAACAAACAAATTATTATCATTATTACCCTTAAAACAAAAACTTAGAATTCAAACAATATAGATTTAAAATAATAATAAGGATAATTTGTAAATTACCGCCCAAAAATGAACCTGTTTTTGAACTAACCACCCGTTTAATTTTTTATTTTATTTTAAAACCCCTTAAATTAAATAATCAGTCAGAGTACCACCCATTTCAAAATTCCGGTGGGTTTTCCGTCTGTGAGCCCCACCTAACCGCTATTTTGACCCTTTTGACTAATTCTTCCTCTTCTTCTTCATCTACAGTTCCCCACCGGCAGCACCACCCACCAATTTCCTGGACAGCCACCAATCAACCTCACCGCCCTTAACATACACCACTAGCCACTGCAATCTACCCCACCACCCTCAACACACCCCACCGACCACCGCCTTCAACTTCACCGCCCTCCACACACATCTCACCGCCCTCAACAAACCCTCATCGACCACCGCCTTCAACCGCATACCATCGAACATTGGAGAAATTAATCGGAAAATAACAATAATCAAATTGCAGAATTCAACTAACAATAATCGATTTTTGCAATTTTTGTAATTGATCTTCCAATTGCCAAAATCAAATTAGCAGACCCCAATGATCTTCTTGTTGTTGCTATTGTTGTTGTATTAAGGGTTGAATTTAGGGTAAATTACTAAAGAATTGTTCTACAAATTAATTGCAAAGTTTTAATAGCAGAGACAATGAAAAGCTTAAAATTGATAAAATCTGGAAAATTATAATCTTACTTGTCACACTTCGCTAGAAAATCGTCCGTAACTTTATCGAGGTTAGTGCTATCCCATGGATCTGCATCCCGAAACTCAGTTAGAGGAGGAATAGAACGAAAAAGACGAACAGGGATAGAGTCATCCATCTTTTTAAAAGTTTTTTTCTCAATTTCTATTGCTTCTCTTCGATTAGGGTTTTCTGGAAAATTTGAGAGGAAAGAGGTTGCAAATCTTGCAATCTAACTGCAATTTTATAACCTACAAGTATTTGGAGTCGGTTTTGGTTTTAATCTTTTTTCTAATGTCAGGCCCCCTGTTTTTCTTTCCGGGTTCGAGCAATAAAAAATCTCAGCCCTTCACTACCTCTTTTTTTTTTTTTTTTTTTTTTTTTTTTTGGAGTAAAAGCTCTTAACTACAATTTTTAACCACTTGAAATCTTTGATGGCTTTTGAACAAAAATAAAATAATAGTATGAAAAATGATAAACATAACCCTTAGAACATGTATAAGAAATTGAGCTGCTCAAAACTAACCTAGCTTCAATTTGGGTAGATTTTAGGCTGTTTTTTCGACCCGAAATCAGGTCGGATCTGGTCCTAGCCCGACTTTTTATTTTTTTAAGACGGGCTTAGTAATGCATTTTTATGTTGTTTTTGTTCATTTTTTTTTTTGCCAGGCTAGAAAAGCCCATATGGTCCGACCATTTTGGACGGGATTGGGCATGGAATTTCGGCCCGAAGCTAGGCCCGGCCTGAGTAATGACATTTTTTTTTTTAGCTTCGACACGGTCCAGCCCGCCCATTGATCAGGTTTAATAAGAAGCTAAAAAAGGAAATATTGAAAATAAATTAACATTAATTACACCGATTTCCGTGTGATTTTGTCATAAATTTCCAACTTAATTCTATTTTAAAAAGTATCTTTAATGCTTATATATAGTTATAAGGGCTGCATATATCATTACCCTAATATTAATGAGGTTTTGAATTAGTGGTTAAGACTAAAGATGGTAATTGGTTGGATCAGGGTCCACTCAAACCCATTTTTAAATGTACAAATATATAATCTTTTACCCTTTCCCTTACTCCCAAAGTACTTAGCCCACTAACCCGAGCTTGGAGGACCTATGAGAGGTTCCAGCCCGATACGTAGGGCCCTTCTCTTACCAACATAAATAAAATTATATAATTATAGCATAAGAACTTTGTGTTTATTCACGTATTTTCTTATTAGTTTATACCAATTTGCCTGTATATAAAAGGACATCGAAACTTTGTTAATTTCCAGGTGTCAAATTTATGTAAATAAGGTAACCCTTATTAGTCTCGTATCTGAATTTTGTTTTTCTTTTAACTTGTGTAAATTTTGTTTTTTATAAACTTATCTTATATAATTTTTTTAACCCTTGTAGTAGTATAAACTACAGTACTCTTTAAGTACTCTTTTACCTTTTTATTTTAGTTGAAATACTCCATAAGTAGAATTTCAGTAGATGTACGGGTCGGTTTTGGTGAGGTTAGGTCAGATCTAATTTTAAAATTGAATCATGCTAACTTAACGTGTTTATGCAAGCCAAAATCTAAACTGAATATTTTTGAATTGATTTCAAATCAGGTCAGTCAGATGAGGTTTTTAACACCTCTAACGATGAACATGGAGTTACAGTTGTAAAATCTACGGAGCATTTGTTTAAAATTTACCAGCAGTGATACATACAACATGTTACAGCCAAACCTTTTGACTATCAAATCCCAAGAAAGTCCACGGTCATTTCTTCAACCTAAAATTCCCTGATTACCCATCTCTAACCCCTCTCTACATAAATTAAAAAACGAAACCATTTACAAAATAACAAATTCAAGTACTCCATATAATATAATATTACAGTAAAACAACAACCTAGTGACAAGAAGGAAACAAAGGAAATGATGATCACATCATATTTGTTATTAGAAGACCAAGAGAAGCAAGAGAAAGAGGAGTGGGAAGAATTTGCTGATCAAGAGAAATTCGATTTCGAGGCGATTCATAAGGAAAAAACACAAGCAATGTTGGATTACAATTCAAATTTGCAGAGTAGCTATGAGGGTTTGGATGAAATTGATGGATTAAGGCGAAAGCGATCGAGGGGAGCTGTGAATTCTGCAATGGTTGTTGCTGCTAGTGAAATGATTGAGAAAGGCGGTAGTATTGAGGCTAGCAGTAAGCAATCTAGTGGTTCATCAGTGAGCCATCAGCGACGTTTATGGGTGAAAGACAGGTCTAAGGATTGGTGGGATAAGTGTACTAGCCCTGATTATCCTGAGAGTGAGTTTAAGAGGTGGTTTAGGATGGGAAAAGCAACATTTGAGTTGATTTGTGATGAGTTAAAGGTGGTTGTTGCCAAGGAGAATACGATGTTGAGGGCTGCTATTCCGGTTGATCAAGGAGTTGCTGTGTGTATATATAGGTTGGCAACAGGCGAGCCGCTTAGGTTGGTGTCTAAGAGATTTGGTTTGGGGATTTCAACTTGTCATAAGATTGTTCTTGATGTTTGTGCTGCAATTAGGTCCGTTTTGATGCCCAAGTACCTGCAATGGCCCGATGAGGATTCGTTGAGGCAGATTAAGGAGGAATTTGAATCCATTTCTGGCATTCCTAATGTGGTTGGTTCTATGTATACAACTCATATACCAATAATTGCACCTAAGGTTAGTGTGGCTGCTTATTTCAATAAGCGCCACACTGAGCGAATTCAGAAGACTTCGTACTCGATTACAGTTCAGGGTGTGGTTGATCCTAGAGGGGTTTTTAGCGACGTGTGCATAGGATGGCCTCGATTAATGTCTTAAGGGTGATAGAAAAGAAGTTATAATATGAGCTCCTATAACAAATTAACGAGGAAACGATTCATAACTGAGTTTCCCTCCTCTCAAATCTTTTTTTTCTGTCACCACATTTTTTTTTCTTCCATTGGCATGGCTTGCTGTTACAACTTACAAGTGACTCTCTCCTCTTTTTGCAGGATTGTGTCCAACTCAATTTTAACCGCTTTGATAATCATGATGGCTAACCGTAGTTTAATATATTTGAATGAAATATATATGTTTGCAAAATATACACTAATAAGTACGAAGTATATTATTTTTAATAGATTTTTTTTTCTTAGTAAACTTAAACAAAAAAGTAGTATTTTAGAAAGATATGTCAAATTGGTTTTTAAGGGATGGTTACTATATTAGAAAAGATATATATTCACTATATTTTTAAAATATTTGTTTCTGTAATTTCGTTATTTTCTAAATTATTTGTTTTTTAATTTTGCTAATAAACTAAGGACACACCAGAAGATGACACATGTCATTGCTGGTGTATCTTTTATTATATATTTTTTTTTTTGATGATTGATTGTATATTATTTTTAACAAACAAAAAAACTTATTTTTAAAGGGCTTAAGCTCATGACGCTAATCAAAAAATGCAGTTTACCATATACTTCGTACAATGTTAATATGTTATTGTCCATGTAGAATGGAATTGTAATTGTTATAGCTTTCGTGTATCTGTTTACATGCAAAATGATAAATTATATTTTAAAGTTGAAAAAAAAAAAAGAATACTTAGTAAAAAATTTAAAGTGTAGAAGAAAGATGGTAATTGACTTGTATAAATAAGATAAGCACCTATTTTTTAAAAAAGATAAAGTTAATTGTGTAGCATAATTTAAATATTTAACCTATTTGAATCAGTAATTGTATGCAAGTGAAAACATACATAAAGCAGAATGGTGTACTGCAGTCAAATTAGATCAATAGCATATAATCATATAGAAAAGCTTTAACTCCCAAGCTTAAAGTGTTTGATAAGCAGGCGTTTTCTAGGAACATACAAACTACTGTGTATATGTTCCTAACAATTCAATTCAAGCTGTGTACGTTCCTCGCAAACTCTGCAAAAGATTTAGATGAAGTCTTGTAAGGAGATGTTTGATAAGAACACAAACTACTGTCTATATTCCTACTAAACGGTCCCAAAAGAAAAAGCTACATAGTTACAATAAATCCATTTCATACAAGGTGTAGCAAACTAAACTTAATACTGGCTGAAGGCACTGCAGATTTCATGTTGGTACTAGCACAGCAGATAGTCTTATTTATGGTAAGCAAAAGGCACCAAATGATAATGAGCTATGATACTCAGTTACAACCCTGCACATTTAAAACTTTCTTTGCTCTGTCTGAATCTTCCAAAGGAGTGCTGACAGCAGGATTTGCAGTAGCTTCAGTGTCCTTAGTAGCAGGAGAGAAGTGGTCTGTTGGTGCAGAAATAGGTGGTTCTTTGTCTGAAGAAGTACCTCCGTAAGTAAACAGAGCCGTACGCAGCTTCTTTCTAGCTTGGGTTTGCTGCATCAGTTAATGAAGTATTTTAAATAACCAGTTTTAAACATCACTTAAGGAAGGATCCAAGCAACATGGAGCTTATTACAATAGTTAACACAACAAATACATCTACCAGCACATGATTAAACAATTAGCAGATGTACCAAACTACCCCCACAAAAAAAAAAAAAAAAAAAATATAGAAAACCAAACCTCACCCCCCCATCCCTTCATATAACAACCATCGTTCCTTTCCAAAAGCATTAATATCTTGAAAAGTAATACAATTACAAGTACACCAGAGTGTAATCCGAAGCGTTATTAACAAACTAGGCAATATCACTGATTTTACTGCTACATTTACCACAATAAATATTTTTGTTAGGGCACCGAAACAAAAGCTACACAAACCCACCCAAACAAACTCACCCTCCCAAACAAACGACAAAAGCAACACAAACCCACCCAAAAAAAAATTAGAGCACACACATATATAGTCCTCTAACCCAAAGAATGCAATATCGACACCACAATTGAAAAAAGCAACACAACACCATAGATCAGTCCTTAACCATTGTGTAAACCTACCTGAACAGAAGTTATCTCCACATATCACAAGGAAAGGAAAAGGGCAGAAAAAACTAAATGCAATCCAAAAGGGGCTTTTAAAAAATGAAACGTCCAAATAAAATACACCCTCAAAACATGTAAGTGATGTAACCACTCAACTACCACCACAACAGCCTACAAGAAAATAGAATTCCCTATATCCTAGCTATTTGGCCAAATAAATTAGCTAATTAACATCGTCCAAACAGAAATAACAATTAACATAGGCAATACAAACCTAATCAGCAAAACACAACTAATTACACAACTAATATACAATCAAACACAAGCATTACATCAATTTTACCAACGTAACTAATTACCAGAACTAGAGTAATGTGTTTTGATGTAATTGTTGCAATTTGGTTGCAAATCCTTCAATTTCATCTGCATCCCCACAAGCCTCTAAAAGCCGCGGTACATTGCCAAAACCTGCCACGGCGGCTTTTTGAACGTCCTTATATTTCTGAAAGAACTTCTTCATCTTCTGGGATATGTCGCGAATGCGTGTGATGTAATCTTGAATTTTTTTGTCCAAGCTCATACATTCATCATTATGAAAAACCAACCTAGATTCTGTGATTTGATCAATCACATTTTGACCCTTTCGAAAATATTCTTGAGAGGCACTCAAACCTGTACCAACTATCTCAAATTCAGCTAGCATTGAGTCAATTTGATTTTTGGTTTGTAATACGCTTGGGGGATGAACAGGTGGCAGAGAACATCCGTAAACAATATCTTCAATTAAATCAGCTTCCATCCATGAGATGCCAAGTTCACACATGCTTTTTCCAGAATCCCCCTCGGAATTTTGATATGATACGTATAAAATTCCATCAATTTCGCATAAATCAACCAAAACAACAGCATGATAAGCTCTTTTCTCTACCTCCATACCTTCCTTATCATCAAATCTCCTCTCAGTCACATTACTACCACCTCGAACATACACATCATCTCCATCAACATTATAAGTAGTGTATACAGGCACAACTCCTATAACTGGAAAAAATTTTAGCAACTGCTTCAAGTGAAAGCTTGCGTCTATTTTTCGACATGACATACCCTTAGTGAATTGGATAACATGGGTACCATGATTCCATAATGGTACACCTCTGGTTTGTGCCTCAACTAGCAGCTCAATAGGTTTCCACCAAGTTTTGCGATCAGGATACTCTTTTTTCAAATCATTCTCCCATTTTTTGTGGTCAAATATACATTCATCTTCAGTCAATGACAATCCCTTGCTTGCATTAGCATACAACAACCTCAAATTATAATCGAGTTGCTTTACAACTGCTGCAAATGCACACATATTGGGACCTTGTTTGATAGGAGGCTGTAAAATCTTCACCCCATTGTATACTTTCCACTGAAACTGATGATTTGATAGTTTCTCAAAATGCTTGTGATGTTTTGGCTGCATTTATAACATTAGAGGGCTCATTTTATTCTGCTTTTTCAATATTTCTGCTTGAAAAGTTTAAAAGATGAACATAGTTTAATCTAAGGTCAGAAATTCAGAATCAGTACCTAGATTTTTCAAAGGAGGAAGTGTTGGAAGAAAAAAAAAGGGTGGTTACAGAATAGAAAAACTTCATCTATTGGCAGCAGAATCAGGAGTTTCCTCACAAATGAGAAAAGAGAGTGGACTGTTAGAACAAAACCAGACCGAGAGAAGAACTGCAATAAAAGATATCTACTTTGAAGAAAAGGGCAAAAGTTCAGAAGAAGTATCAGGAGAATTTCAAGTATGGGCTGAGAGACGATGGCAAATATCTGGGAGAAAAGGAGAAATTAGTGGTTAAGATGAAAGATACACCATCTACTCCTGTATCCCGAAGCCTGGCTGGCCCTCAGCAGCCTTCAAGCCGGGAAAGATATACCTAGCTTGGAATAGAGCAAAGCAAGACAAGTCCCCTATCATTCTTATGCTTAAGCAGATTTCTCTGTATCATTTTTTCTTGTTTAAGTGTAATGTGATAAATCTTTTCAGCTAAAATTTTACTAAGCTGATGCAAAATAAACGCAAAAAATTTAATTTACCTCTTCAATATTTGAAACAGAAACTCCCTTCTCTTCCAAATTAAGGAGACAAGGAGGTAATATTGAAAAAGAGTCGGCATACAGACATAGCTTCCCCTTAGATTTTCCTATGATCAACAAGAAAAGAGATCTAATCATGCAACAGATGAAGAGAAATTAACCAAAACACTGAATTAAAGTATCACTGAACCTCAAAAGAAAACAAACACCATTTCTAAGCAAAAGTATCTTTATCTAAATCATATGGATAAATCTATCCGTGTTTATCAGCCACCATTTCATACAACTTCCCACCATTTCATACAACCTCCCCCCCCCCCCCCTCCTCAACAAAAGAAAAAAAGGATGGAGGAGGATTTTTCACCCTATATTCCCAAGGTTTAATGAAACAAATAACTCTATCAGTGTTTTTTAGCACCAATTAATACAACCCCCCCCCCCCCCCCCCACACACACACACACAAACAAAAGAAAAAAAATAAAGATGGAGGAGGATTTTTCACCCTATATCCCCAAGGTTTAATGAAACACACCGTGTTCTCAAGAAAAAAACACAACATACCACAGACGTTTTCAAAAATCACCATGTAATCCCAAACCTAACAAGCGAAATTTCCGTCAAGCCTCCATCCCTGATACGTTAAACTCGCTTTCCCTCCCTCTTCCAAATTAAATTTATTTCCCCCCCACTCTCTCCTCCTCCCCTGACAGGGAAACCCACCCCAATCACCTCCACCCTGCCACCGACCACAAAGAGGCTAGCCCATTCACCCAGCCACCACCAAATAACTCACTCCCACCAGCCACTTTAGCCTCACCACTCACCACCACTATGTAAATTTGATATGCATTCATCAAAAGTCACAACTTCAGAAACTGAGTGGAGGTAAAATAATTTGAGGTTTAGATTAACAAAAAGTAGAAAACAATGTGAGAAAACTTGGGCTTCAATTATCCAGTCTCTGCATTCATAATTTGTTGCCTAAAGAGAAAAAACAACTTTTTGGACTCGCTTGTGTTATGGTCACCAACCTTAGTTGAAATTCAGACAACAATACATGTGGCCACCAACAGCCACATCACACCCATCCCATCCGAAGCATGAGACAACAGAAGCAATGGATATCACTTGCAAGGTGTTCAATAATTCAGACACAAAATCTCATAGCAATTATCTGGTTAAAATTTAGACTGGTTTTTTCTGTTGATGTCCATGATTTTTTAAGGATGAAATGGAAAAACAGGCAACAAATAACCCAGGGGAGGAGATTAAGACTGCAA